ACCACTTTTTCAATACAACTTAAAGAAGTTATGTTTGTGAAGGTTCTCATTCATCCAGGCCCACATGGTAGTGACTAATTCAAATGAACTTATTCAGTAATACCAAAGACATGCCACCACTCATTCTAGTGAGTTCCTCAGTTCTTTTGAACAAAGAAAGATACTTGGATGAGTGACAAAATATCTTCAACATTATAGAACAAGTCCAAATGAATGTTACTACATCTACTAATTTACAAACGTTCTGCCACTAACCTCAGACTCTTTTGCCAGTTTTGCGGAAGAACGTCTTACATTTGAAAAGCCTGGAAGTGCAGGAAAAGGGTGAAGTAGATTGTGTGTGCTACAAAAGGCTCTACAAAGAAACAACCACACAGCAGGGGCTGTTGAGGTAAGTTTAATTTTACCTGTCAGCTTAGAATACTCCCCAGACTTTTTTGCGTACATATAAATCCTTGAAATAGATTTGGTGGCATTCTTTAAAGTGCGAGGTTACTTATATCTGATAGCCTCTGGCAGGTTTAAGCACTTGCTGGTTTTACAAACTGTTTGGGAACCCTCCAAAAGGCCCCCCGATTAGCTTGGTTAAACATCAACCTGGCCTCTAAAAAGAGCAGCAATGTTCAAGGGAAGGCCAAGCAAGGTGAAGAAATGAAGCCAGAACCCAATTTGTGGGGGCAATTTTCCCATCAAGGTCGCCAAACATAAGAATCCGCCAGGCACACAATCCTTTCAACCTCTACCCAAATGTGAATATTTAGCAGGTTAAAGTGGTTGTAAACCTCAGAAATGAAATATGAACAAAGCATATCCCTCTATAGTGTGTGCTTGCCCCAATCCAGAGCACCAAGTGTCATTGGCATCTGCTGCTTTGTTCCCCTGCTATAAGCATGAATCACTGATTTTTTTCTTGACATCAAGAGAAAAATGGTGACAGGAGAGCCCACAACCTGCAATTGATAGCCTCATTTCTGAACCTGTTTTCTGTATAGGCGGGGTGTGTGGTGCTTCCCTCCAATCAGCTCTCAGAGCTCTCCTTACCGAGTGTAAATTCAGCTCCTCACCCCCCACTTTTCAGAGCTAAGAGATCCTGTGTCTGTACTTTGAATGGATGTTGGGGAAAGACAGCTATAGATAGAAAAGAACAACTTAATTAAGAGGATTTGTTTCATCTCTCTGTATCACCTGATGCCAGTCATTTCACGGGGTATATGTAAGGGTTTTACAACCACTTTATCCTCTTCAAATCTACATCAAATTAAAGTGTTTTTATTTTATTATAGTAAGGCTTTAACTGCTCAGCAAATTCTCGCTTGAGTTAAAAAATAAATCACAACCCCATCTATATATAGCAGCATATCAGTTCATATAAAAACACATTAACACCAATGAACTGCATAATACTTGATATCCACAAAATACTTCGCCAGAAACATTTCTCATACTTCACTTAATAATCTCTTAGCTGTTGCCAGAAAATGCAATTAAAGAGACTAAAATCACAGAGAATTACAGTTATCCATTGAGGATGTGTGATCTGTGGTACGAATATCCAAACATTTCATTCTCTTCTCCATACTGAAGACGTGATTACCGCTAGTCTCTGTGTTTGGCAAAGTCTTTAAGCTCCAAGCTGCAGGAGGAGCCAGTTACTGTTCTGCTGCAAGGCTTGAAAGGGTACAGGCTTTTTTGGCCAGTTAGGCATGAATTGAGAACACCATTGAAATGTTTACATTTGAGGTCAACAGAATGACATATGCAAGGTGACTTGGGTTTAACAAACATCTCATTTTATAATGTTTGAATACATATTTGCTGCTTTATAGTTATTCATTTTTATATAAACCTGTTGCCTACTAGTTTATATAGACTCTGCTATTCACAATCCATAAATAGATGGTAGCTGGGCCATCTGTACTATTCTAAACAATGGAAAGACACCATCTTGCTTTTTTTAAATTTAGAAAACACTAAAAAAGAAAAAAAAAAAAAAAACAACACTATTGTGCAGATCTACTTGCTGCTGGCACCATACTTCTAAAATGAAATATTCACTGACAAAGAGAGAGGGGCCATACTGACCAGGCTAGTTGCCTGTTAGTCTCTAGATTCATTTTTGACCCAGTGCAGGCATACAGATTTTGGAAGTCAGAATGAAGCCAGAACTCCAATCTACCTACTTTTTTCAAATTAGTAACTTACCGAAGTTACTGGATACCCAAGACAACCAAGGATCTAATCTTCTGACTACAGGTTTCATTATGGACTCCGTACCTATGCATTTTTAATGCACATTATTAAGTATACAGGTTAGCCTTTGGTATAAAAGGTGCTATCTCAAATCTGTGCAAAGTGTGGTGGCAAAAAAAAAAGTCCTTGTTCATGCATCGACACACATTAAAGAATAAGGCATGTTTGGAACATGTTTCGGGTGTAACCAGGGGCGGACTGACAACTCACGGGGCCCCCCCAGGCAATAGGGGATCATGGGACCCCTGTGTCCTTGCCAAAACTCAAAAAAGCATATGAAAAAGGTACCAGGGGCATCTCATGGGGCCCCCTACTGACCCCGAGCCCTCGGGCAGTGCCCGAGTTCCAAATGGTCAGTCCGCCCCTGGGTGTAACATGTTACAGGACCCCCACCCCCCGGTGACAGCAGGTGGGGATGACTTTCCAGCACAGTTGCCATCACATTTTTAAATAGTCACGGCTTTGCTGCACTCTGCTCACACAGGGATCTGTGAATGCATAAACTACAAGTCCCATCCACCACTACACCAGATAGCTTGTAGGACTTAATATACTACGAGGGTGCTTTCTCACAGAAAGCCCGTACAGAGTCCCAGACTGGCCATACATTATACAATTTTCCTTCAGATTTACCAAAACCACAAAATCTAAAAAAAGGTCAAACTTAAAACACTTTCAATTTGTATGCAATTAGGCAGGCCCTTGCACTACATAATCGAACCTAAATTTAAAAGGAATTTGAGCAAGACAATTGTATAATGTACATCCAGCATGTGTCTGCAGGAGCCTAATGATACACCTACGATCAATCACTGGAGGGTACATGATTTTGCAGGCTCTTGAGGGGGGGGGGGGGATATATATATATATATATATATATATATATATATATATATATATGCAAATATATGTGTGCTTATTTTTTTTTTCCCCTAAAAGCGAACTTAGACTTTACAAAGGTTTATTAATAAACAGGTAGCAAGGAGTTAAAGCCTAACTCCTCGTTTACTGCCACTTTAAAAAGTTCATTAGGGCAAGCTAATCCAAAAAAAAAAACTAAATAAAAACCAAAACATTATTTCTTTTAACCAAGTGATGTGGCTGCTGTGTTAGCTGTATAAACTGTATGTAGCATCAGCTACATAACATATACAGTACTGTGTTTCGGCAGCAGTACAGGGACTGTCTGTTGCTGGAACAAAACTGAGTCAGAGTAAGTGCTGCCTAGCTATTCACATGAAGCCTTGTATTTATATCAATAAATGCAAGCCTTCCTCTGATTGTCTTAGGTGAAAATGTGGGAAGGTGATGTCACAATCTCCACCTCAACCAATCAGAGGAAACCTTGTATTCACTGAGAAAAACACAAGGCTTCTTTAGAATAGCTAAGAAGCAATCAGTCCAGGTCGGAACACATCGTGCATCAAAAATAGTTTGGTGGGCCAGCCCAAGTGAAATTAAACATGGAGTTAGGCTTGAAACACCACATCTTCATGCTCATCCTACTAAATGTGAAACAAGTATTTAAAAAGAAAAAAATAGACAGATAGATATATCTATCTAAAAACACCCCACAGAGTAATTGTATATATAAATTTTATGCTTAGTATTATATCCATTTTGAAAGCTAAAATTGAATAAAAAAAATAATCTGTAATTCCCATAGACATAATATGCATTATTTTCTATTTAATCCATTATTTAATAATTTCTTAACTTTTGTATGATGACATTTTATTGACTTTACACCTCTGCAATTTTATACATATTTGTCTTACACATCCATAGAATTTTGGGGGTAGATCAGCCAAAACACATTGCCTTTAACTGAATGTGATTAAACAGTTTCTGGATGCAGCCTGTCTGGCAGCCTTCTTCCTTGCACACTAATCCACTTGTGTGAAATGTAATGAAACCTGGAGTTGACCCTCTGCCACAAGTCAGTGAAATATTTTGGAGGAGTTTCCTAAAAATGTAGGCTAAAGTTAAAAAAAAAAAAAAAAAAAAAAAAATTCAACCTTTACTGGCTACTTGTTGCAACATGCTACCTTTCTGGATGTAAGGTATAGCAGAGTTTATATAAAAATATAGTATTTAAAAATCAAAAAAAAGGTACATAAAGAAAGGAGTATACATGATTCAAGACTATCAAGTTGTCCTCTAAACCCAAATGCTTTTAGTCAAGATGTGGCATCTGTACTTTTCTGTGCACAAAGTGGTTAAAACCGTTTTGTTCTCCCTTGTGTCTAGGCTTTCTGTATGCAGGATAGGTTTGTGGCTGCATAGCAATCTTTCCCTGGCACAGAAATCATATCTGGCAAGAGTGGAGCAATGCAGGTATGAATTCACCAAAATCACAACATTCAGAAAATGGGGACAACGTGACCAAGCTTGGTAATCTGATCTGTCAATGCCCAAGATGTACATTTAATCATCCATAATCATCTCCTTATATATCTGAAAAACTCTTGTGGACAGCCAGGTCACAGTTTCTGATTTTTAGGTACTTATTTTACCTGTTGCGGACACACAAAAAGCAGTAAAATTCTCTCACTTAGCTTTGCAATGGCCACAGAGTTGGTGGTGGGAGAACTGAGAACCCCTGGGATGGACAAGATCAAGGGCCTAGAGTCCCAATAAAGTACTATATAAGAAGGCAGTAGGTTTTTGAACCCATCAGAATCTACCAGTTTTGGCTGGGTTGACAACATGAAAAAATAATTTTCTCACTTTGTTACTCTAGTCCTCATCTATGTATTCACTTCTACTTCATTCTTTATGATAGACTCTGTCTTCCCAGGGTCCACTGTAACAGTTATCACATCAGCCATCTGCTCTCCTCTTCGGTGGATTCTTTGATGTTTAATAAGGGTCGAACAGTCAGTGAAGCTTCTTCCACACTCATTACATGTATAGGGTTTCTCCCCAGTGTGGATTCTTTGGTGTTTCACAAGGGTAGAGCTGTCAGTGAAGCATTTCCCACATACTTTGCAGGAATATGGCTTCTCCCCAGTATGAATTCTTTGGTGTTTGATCAAGGTGGAGTTATCAATGAAGTTCTTTCCGCAATAGTTGCAAATGTAGGGCCGTTCCCCAGTATGTATACGCTGATGCTTCACCAAGGTGGAGCTGTCAGTGAAACTTTTGCCACATTCAGTACATGGAAATGGCTTTTCCCCAGTGTGGAAGCGCTGCTGATGGACCACCAAGTGGGAATTACAGGAGAAGCACTTCCCACACACAGGGCACGTGTATGGCTTTTCTCCACTATGGGTTCTCTGGTGTTTTACCAGAGTGGACCGAGCAGCAAAGTTCCTTCCACACTGGATGCAGGTGAATGGCTTCTCACCAGTATGCGTGCGCTGATGTTTGACCAGAGATGAGCTGTCAATGAAATTCTTGCCACACTGAACACAGGTGAATGGTTTCTCACCTGTGTGGGTCCTCTGATGCTTTACCATAGCTGACTTCTTGGTGTAACGGTTCCCGCAAGTTAGGCACACAAAGGGTTTCTCTCCAGTGTGAACCCGTTGGTGTATAACCAAAGTGGAGCTGTCCGTGAAGCTTTTGCCGCACTCCCGGCACATGAAGGGCCTCTCACCAGTGTGTGTTCTCTGGTGCACAATTAGATGTGAGTTGCAAGAATAGGTTTTACCACACTCCTTGCAGGCATAAGGTTTCTCACCAGTGTGGCTCCGCCGGTGGACAACAAGAGTGGAGTTTTCCGTAAATCTCTTCCCACACTCACCACATTGGAAAGATTTCTCCCCACTATGGATCCTCTGGTGTTTCACCAGATTGGATCGGTCTGTAAAGCTCTTTCCACACTCCAAGCAGGTGAAGGACTTCTCCCGGTGTGGATACGGTGGTGTTTCACCAGGTTCGACCGGTCAGTGAAGCTTTTTCCGCAGACTGTACAATTAAAAGGCTTTTCTCCAGTGTGAATTCTCTCATGTTTCACAAGGGACGGGCGATCGGTGAAACACTTCTCACAGTAAGAACAAGCAAAGGGTCTCTCACCAGCATGGATTCTCTGATGTATGACCAGGTGAGAGTTATATGAAAAAGCCTTACCACACACGTTACAAACATGAGGCTTCCCTACTGAGTGCGTCTTCTGGTGTTTCACAAACCGAGCTCTGTCAGTGAAGCTCTTTCCACATTCAATGCACAAATAGGTGGTCATTTCCATCACTTTTTACCCGTTATGGGGTCAATTGCATTGTAGATGCTATAGCAGTTGTCCACCAGTTTAGTACGAGAGACATCAGAGTGGTTTTGTGTGTTGCAGATGTCCTTTCCCACTGGCACCTTGTCCACTTCTGTTGATGAACTGGATATCACACAGGGCTCCCCCGTTTCATTCATCAAATCTGCATGAAAATAAGATTGCAACAATGTATAAGAATAATATTTTGCCCTGAGGACTATTTTTTTTTTTTTATTTAGAAACTCAGGTGTTTGGTTAGCAGCATTGAGTAATGGTTGAATAATTATCCTGAGTACATTTTTCACTTTATAATATGGTAGAATTTTAGGTTGATATTAAATATTAACCACTTGCCCTCCTGAGCGCTGCGTTACTTTAACTGACAATTGCGCAGTCATGCAACGCTGCTCCCAAATGAAATTTACATCCATTTTTCCCACTAATTGAGCTTTCTTTCGGTGGTATTTGATCACCTGTCCGTTTATTTTTTTTTGCGCTATAACAAAAAAATAAAATAAAAAAGACTGACAATTTTGAGAAGAAAAATAATATTTTTTACTTTTTGCTATTAAAACATGTCCAGAAAAAAAAAAAAAAAAAAAAAAGAAAGAAGCACCGACACTGTAGTAATTGCACTGGGCAGTAAGGGGTAAACAGGAGGGCCGATCAAAGGGTTAGCTGGGTGCTGGGAGTGTTTTTACTGGGGGGCGGTGTGTTGCTGCTTCACTCTAAGCACACTGCTCTGGATGGCCATCGCCATCCAGAGCAGTGTTCCCGAGCTGGCAGGGAGGAGGACTGTTAGTAAACAAAGCAGTCCTCCTCCCCGGAGATCCTCGGTAATCACCGGGCGCTGATAGGTAATCACCGGCCTGCACCCGATGATTGGAGGCGCAGGTAGAGCATGCGCGCCCCCTACCTGGAAATACAAAATCACGTATATATACACACGTGGTTTTGCGCACCCCTGCTGCCATGTAGCAGTAGTATTGTAGAGTTAAAAGTTGGGTCTAGAACAAATTTAAAATGATACTAAACACATATGCTTAATTTACATTCTCTTCCTGTATATGGATGATGGCATATACCTTTTTCCTAATTGATGCATAGCTGTCACATGACCCAGCTCTTTCCCAGCCTGTTTACAGGGAAACAGTAACAGGAGGAGCTTCTAGTCCTCTGCTACTGGACACACAGCCCTTGGTCTACAGAGTAAAATAAATATCAAATTATTTTAAATTGTCATACAAATATATATATTTGAAATCAAATCTATTATTTTTTGGCAACAACATTGTGTTACAGGCTGTGTCACATCTTTCCAGCCTTTGCCTTATAACATTATATGTTTAGCTGGTTAGTGGACAAGAAGGAGGGAGGGAGTGGGTTGTCATTAATCAGTGTATATACGCCCACATGTGTGATCCTATATTCACATGGGCTGCTCAGATGTGATAGGGAGAAAATGATCACAGTAGAAAATATACTGAAAACAGAGCATGTACACTAGCTGCCAACACTGCTCTGCAAAATACCCAACTGCAGTGGGGACATAGACAGGAGTGGGAGACAGAGAATAACAGGATCAACCAGGTTTTTTGCATAAGGCCTAGTTCACACTGGCATGGAAAGCAGGCTTTGAGGGGCGTTTTTAATGCTCCTTAAACACTTATGAAAATGATAACGTGAACAGCACACAGTGCAGTTCACATGATCAAAACAAAGCATTAGCGTCGCTTCAAAATGGAAGCCTCATGTCGAGTCTAGAGGAGTCTGAAGCCTTTTAATGCCTCCCACTCAAGTCTATGGTGGCACTCCACAAACACACTGGCAGGCATTTGCAGTGCGGTTGCGGCACGTTATTAACATTACAGTTTATTATAGGCGTATCAAAACCGTGCATGGGGCATTTGGGTAGTGTTTTTAACGCTTGTAAAATGCCATTCTAATGCCCAAACTAAAGCTCATTAATGCCTGTCTAACGCTCATACTAAAAACACTAACACTGTCCTTAGATATCCAAGGACGACAAAACAGGAGAGGGATGAGGTTTCTTGTCCCATTTTATTTTTGTTGCCCTGATACAGAATGGTGAATAAACGTTGTTGTCCTAGAACTTTAAGCGCGACAAAATCCCCAGACTATTGTAAAAGAAGACTAATGCGACTCCCACATCCAAGGACGTTTCTGTTTTTTGGAAGAATATGCTTGAAGGTTTGCGTTTAGGTTTGGATAATTGGCTTATTGGGCCTTTGAGGGGAAAAAAAAAAAAATAGTAAATGCTTGAAATAAAAGTAAGTGCCCATATAGTTTTTAGGTATAAGGTACATTCCTGAAAAAAAAAACAAATAAAACACACATACACACTTAGGAATATGAATTACAGGCTACAGTAAACACAAAATGACAAAAATGAACACTATGTATTTACCTGCAAGAAGCCCCTTTGATTAGACATCCAAAAGAGGCCAGAGACTATTGTAGGTAGGTGAGGGCAGAGTAGCTGGGACAGCACAGACAGTCAAAGAAGAAATTGAGGCTATGATGTGGTAGGGGGAAGGGGAGCTGTAGCTGCTAGTCAATTGATATATTTCCTACAGTGGTCAAACTTTTTAGCATGTAAGGCAGAATAAGCAAATATATATATACGTGATTTTGCAGCTCCTGGTAGGGGGCACATGCGATCATTCGCGGCCTCGGCTATCAATCCCGACTGGTGATTACTCATCAGCATTCGGTGATCGCAGAGTATCTCCGACAGGGAAGAGACCTGTGTATAAACAACATAGATCTCTCCCCTGTCCACTCCTGCACACTTCTTTGTATGGCTCTGCACAGCAAAGCCATACAAAGCAGTGTGCTTACAGTAGAAAGCACTCACACAGCACACTGTGAAACAGCACACAGCTAACCCTCTGATCGCCCCGCATGTTAATCCCTTCCTGCCCAGTGCCATTAGTACAGTGTCAGTGCTTTTTATTAGCACTGATTACTGTATTGGCATCACTGGGGTATTCAGTAGTAGTTAGTTCCCCCCAATGTCAGAATACCTGCCACAGCCCTGCTTTAAATCGCTGATCACCACCATTACTAGCAAAAAAGAGAAAAAAAATTCCAGGATCTATAATCACCATTTGTAAATGCTATAACTTTCACATAAAGCAATTAATTTACACATATTGGGATTTTTTTTTTTCTTTTTTGTAAGCAAAGATATGTAGCAGAATATATTCTGGCCTAAATTTACGACAAGACTTGATTTTTAAAATCTTTTTTTACTTAACATGTTTAATATCAAAAAGTCAAAAATATTATTTTTTTAAGCTCATAATTGTAGGTCTTTTTTTGTTTATAGTGCAAAAAAAAAAAAAAAAAAAAAAAGAAGAACACACAGGCGAACATGGGGGGGTGTAAGGACATAAATTTCGTATGGGTGAAGCGCTGCATGGTCTGGTCAAGGGGGGGTAAAAACTCTGGAGTGCTTTTACATGCAATTCTTTGGTGAGAGGATTTCTTTAAAGAGCAGAAGCCTTCCAGAGCAAATAGGAAACCATTTGGTCAGGCACTAACCCTCTGAAGGGGTTATAGGCTGCTGTTTGATCGCGCTGTTTTATTTTGTTATTCCAATTTCCTTGTATATAATATCCAGGCATTATGGAGGGCTTCTGAACTTTAACAATTTCTTCTGATGTATGGTTGTGTTTACTTCTATCAGGAATTTTGGATTAGTGCAGCATTGAAGCTTCTACCACCCCTACCTTTTGCAAGTAACAGCTTGTTTGTTGCTTCATATCTAATGATATTAGTGGTCATGCAAACTATTACCATCATTTAGTAACAAAACATTTTGCTGCTGTAGCCTACACCCCCACTATACATTTTTGAAAGCAGAGGACCCATGGAATAATATGATGAAAGTTTACAAGAGGTTAATCTGAATAGATATTAAAAATGTCCCAGTGTCTATGATTGGTTAAGAGTACACAATAAACGTAATCCTGTTGCCAGTGACCACCAATGATGAGGAGGAGGGTGAGGTTTCAAAGTACACTGACAATGATGGATTGTGGGATTTTTTTTTTTTTTTTGGGGGGGGGGGGGGGGGGGGGGGGTAACAAAGAATTGCATTTGGCTTCAGTGGGTGATATTTTAAAAGCCAAGTACACCTTAACCACCTAAACAATAGAAGGTTTTCATATTTCCAAATAATTGTGTCAAAAAAGGGAGATCATCTTGGGGTGTATATTTTCCAAAAAAAAAGGGGTCATTTTGGGGTGTTTGCCCATTCCTGGCTTTTTTATTGGATGGATTTTATAATAAAAACTAAGGGGAACCGTTTTTTGTTAAATAGAAAAAGGTGGTTATAAACACCAACAAAATAAATCTTTATCAGTTTTAGAAAATAACCTAAAATTCATTTTGGTACATTGTTGCATGTGTGAAAATGGCCTTTAAAGCAACGAGGTGTAACATGCTGGGATTGAAGTGGTTAAGGAGACATTAGGGGTCTAATAAAGCCATGAAGAAATATTTGGGAGTCAGAATTACTTTTACAAGAAAGCCAGAAGCCTGGTGCCAAAAACGTACACAAACCTGGGGCTGCTAGTGCAACTGAGTTTGTGTTCTGTCACTACCATAGTAATTATGGCGGCGGTGCCGGCGGCAGCATTAAAGGTTTTAAGGACATGTTCATTGACATAAAACTACCTAACCCTTAGTGGCCCCCTTCCTAGTGTCCTAAGCTACACTAAGATGAAAAAGTCCCTCTAGGCACTTACCTCCTCCGACAGCCCCCCATATTTTTTACATCCTGTCTGTAAAAATCTAGCACCACGTTGCCCACCAACTTCCCATACTCCTACTTATACAGTACCTTTTTAGAGACTCTAGGGCTCTGACCTTGACCCTTTTTCTGCCACTAAGCTGAGCCAA